CCCCACCGCCCTGGCGTGATGGCCCGGGCCGGCGCGTGGTCACGGTGGTCACGTGGAGCGCGGCCAGACGGCACACCCCTTCCACCTCCCTCCCCCCCGCGAGGCTCGCCGCACGGTGTGACCACACTGCTTCGCACCGCACCCACACCGGTCGGGTCGGCGGGGGGGTCGCGTGCGTGCGGGCAGTCTGCAGCGGCAACGCCCTGAGGGGAGGGGGCGGAGGGGGGACGAGAGGAAGGAAGGAAGGAAGGAAGGAAGGAAGGAAGGAAGGAAGGAAGGAAGGAAGGAAGGAAGGAGAGAAAGGAGAGAAAGGAGAGAGATGAGGGAAGGAAGAGATGTAAAGGAGAGGGTGGCGATTAGAAAGGGAAAGGCGAGGTCCTCTTGATAATGGATATGATATTAGAACTGAGGATGAGAAGGAAAAGGAGGAGGAGGTGGAGGAGGAGGGAAATTTCTTTGTGAATATACTATTTTTTTTATTACTGAAATTTGCATAGTGAATAAATTGTGCATTGACTATCGTGGGTGTAATTTTACAAAGGCACTTGTAGTTCTCAAACGGAGTAGTCAGTAGTCAACACGGTTTGATCGTTGGAGAAAAGCAAGTTGATTCATAGTTGTTGTGACATAAGAATTTGACAATTTGAATTCGTAACTCTGTTGTTTGAACCGGTTAATTTCATAATATGAGTTTGTCACTATATGCTATTCGTCGCCATGGACGATTTCCTCGTGACCCTTACGAACGTTGCTCAAAGTGAAGAAAAAGAGGAGGAAGATGAAGAAAGCCTTCGCGCCCTTCTCCCCATGCTCACGCTGGGGGGATATTGCGTTTGCGGATTGTCGAGTAACGTGACACACTGCCTGAGATACAGTGCGGTGCTCCCATGCCTGGCCGCGCTCGAGTGCTCTGCCATACCACACTGACGAGGCGCGGCGGGGTGTGGCGAGGCGGGGCGGGGCGGGGCGGTGTGGTCCAGGGCCGCGGCGCGGTGCTCAACGACCCCATCATAGCCCCACAAAGAGCGATACACAATGATACACTGCCTCCAGTGCCCGCCCCGCCCCGCCCCTCCCGGCCACAAAAGAGAGCCAAGTGCGGGAGAAACAAACGGGTTGCTTAGGTTAAGGTCCTCTGTGTGTGTGTGCGAGAGAGAGTGAGTGAGAGCGCAGGGGTAGGAGGCAGCAGCGGGAGGGGTTGCAAACTCCAACTGATTTTATGAAGAAGATGCACTTGTTTTTAAAAATTTCGGTGGTGAAAATTTAGTTACGCATTACCCGATATTTCCATTAAGAAACCCAAACGTGGGGTTAAGAACCAGCTGCACTCGTCTTAAAAATAACAGAGCGTGTGTAGTTTCCTTTTTACACAAATCACCCGTTTTCTTGCGCACCACCACAAAGAGAGAGAGAGAGAGAGAGAGAGAGAGAGAGAGAGAGAGAG